GAGAGAGAGAGAGAGAGAGAGAGAGAGTGAGTCGACTCACGGAATCGTAAACGTTTGTCGTTTAGGAAGGGGAAATCCTCTTCTAAACGGAAAAACTATCCCGCCGATATATCCACGTGGCGCGACCAAACAACTTGGAGTCGTGATGTCATCAATTTCGAGGCGAGAAGGATGACTCAGTCGCGATCCATTTCCCCCTCCCTCCTCGTTTTATCGAAGGTCCGAATAGCGATGGAAAATAACGCGCGTCTATTCGCTTCTTTTTCCGTTGAATATCGATTTGATCGAATTGATCGGAGAGAGATAGAAAATGGAAAAGTATGAGACGAGGAGATGCGAAAGGGGGTTGGTGGTCATTTGAATGGTCATCGTCGATATTGTATTTGGGGATAGCAGGAGGATGTGGCGGAGGACGTGACACAATTGCGAAAGAGGGAACAACTATTCGCCGTGGCTCCTGGGACGAGTAAGTTAAACGTTTGTATAGCGTTGACCGAAATTAGCGTAATCACCTTTGGGGTTGACAAATTACGCTAATTGAAAATTGGAACGGGGGGAAATTGTCGTCGCCCTTTTCAAACGTACACGTTTACGAAGGTATGAACCGTGAGCAAGCAAGTCATTTATTTATCGGCGAACAATAAATTGCACTACTTTGAAATTTGAAACTGAAATTTTTCTAAAACATTTCTCCGCGTTATAAGAATGTAAACTCGCTTGCTTGTGAAGTATCTGTATCGCGTATAAAAATAACATCTTGATTATTTGTGTTATCCAATTACGAACGTTTCCAATTTACAGTACATCGTTTTTATCCCGTTTCTTTCCTTACTTCATTTTCCGTTACGTAAGGTGTAATTTAAAGGAAAAATTAAAAAAAGCACAAAAGAGACGCTACTAATTGCACACATCGCGACACACGCCTATTTTTCTTTCGTACGAGGACAAGCGTAACAAATTTATCGACTATTATTTTTCTCAGAACTTGAAATAAAAACTATATATATATATATATATATATACTTATGACTCGTGTTTCGAATACGTGGAACTCGCGAGCTCGTTCGAAGAAGTTAATCGAATCCTATTCGGAGATATAGCGAATATTTGGAGAGACGTGGCTCGGCAAACAAACATCGTACAACGGAGGCGAGTAATGGACGATTCGTTGGATGGTTGTAATAGGTGGCGAGATATAACGTGTTTGCTTTTCGAGAAATGCACGCATCCACAACTCGGACTTAATTATCCGGCGTTTCCATCCGGGGCGAGAAGAAAGTAACGCCCCTTTGTACGATTCGAAACTCGAATACCAGATCTTTTGTCGCACATCTCCGGCGTATATAGCAGCCGGTGTAAATTCAATAAGGCCGCGTTTCTTGCCTCCCGTTCATTTCTTCGCCCCGTTCCGTCGATCTTCAACAAAGGCCGCCTGCCTCTCTTTATCTCCCCCTCTCCTCTCTTTCTCGCCTTAAACGACACGAGCAGGGCAAGGAGGGAGGAATCGTGATAAGAATATAGGTAATCTCCCCTCGACCCGTTCCTTTTGTTCCGCTCGAAACGGTATTTCGTTGCCTCGGGAACAACGGTGTCCATTGGACACCGGATACGCTAATGGAATCCCCGTGGATAAAATCGTTTAATAAAATTCTTTGGAACCAGGATTTTAGGAAATGATTGATAAAGAGCGATCCGTTCGATCCGTGGAACATCGAGAGTGTGATCGGAAAGATGGACGATCAGAGCGAAAGATATAAGGAAGGAGAAGGCTTCGGTCAAAGGAAGAAAGGAGACTTTAATGAAAGTCTTGTTTGAATACCGGGCTTGAAGATCAAGGAACACGTGTACTCTTTTATCTTCTTGTTCCAATTGAGAAAGAGAAAATATAGAGGTCTCGTTTCTAATAATCTCCGAGATCGAATAAGGAGAAGATGAAAGAATGATTTGGGATTGTTAACGCGGTTGTCGAAGAGGCGACGCGAGGTAACTGGTGGTAGTCGTAGCGTACGAACCCTATTTCAGAAGTTATACCGTCTCAGGTCGGCGAGACGTGAGTGGTAGTCCGGATTAGACGCCACCATTTGGGATTGTTGGGATTAGGTCGCACGATTCGAGAGCGGTAACAGTTGGATCCCGGAATTTCGAGGTAAAATCGGTAAAATCGTGGACCGGTTAAATTGAATTTCACCGTTGTTAAATTCTATTTACAAGGGATTAAAATTGTCCGCGCCACTCGCGATCCGTTGAAGAAATACGAAGGAAGGAGAGATGAAATATTGGCGGAAACGGTTAAAGGAACGAGCTCGAATGCCGCACACGGAGGCGTATCCTCGCCTCCGGATACATCTTCTGAGACTTCTCTATAAAGAATTCACGAGCGTTGGTACGCTGTGAAATGACACCGTGTTTCTCGCACGCTTTACAATTTATACGAAAGGAAATCCACGAAGAGAAAACGGATCGGCGAGAAAACATCGCTCCATTCCACTCCTAGACAAGTTTATTCCCGATATCTCCTCTTCTCCCTCCACCTTATCCATCGAGTTTACATAAATGACCCAAGATTAATCGCGTTAAGCCTCTCGGAGACCAAGAGCCGATGAATTAAATAAGACGTTGGGCTTTTCGTGGAGACCTGGCCGGTCGATCGATGCCCTCCGGCGAGCCTTTTCTTATTATTAGAAAATCTTCCTACGGGGCCCCAGGAATTCCTTCAAAGCCGCGTGAAAAAGTGATGAAGCGTCACAATCACGACGTCAATTTGCCCAACCGCGAGTGGAGAGGAGAGCTATTCCGCTCGAGGCACACCATCACCGGCGTTGCTTCCGGAATATCTACGAAAACTTATGTAGATATTCTCCCCGAGTTCTCGTTGCATATATGCGATCGACGTGGATGCACGTATTACTTCCGGAAGAAGCGACGAGGCCAGCGATGGAAACGACGTAATAAGCGTTGCGACACGTTTGCGCGACTGGCGAGACGACGAATCGAAAGGACAAACCGAAAGCCAAACCAAATACGTCTCCCCTCCAATCGCGCGTGTTGTCAAACAATCGGTGCCGCGCCGTTTCGTTCGCTCGATTAGAACTCGCTTAGATCGAACGCGACTCGACACGAGTACGCGTCTACCTGTGGTTTCCTCTCTTTCTCTCGTTCTTTCTGTTTCTATTATGAGTGAGCGCGCGCGGAAAATGGACGAGGGAAGGAAGGGG